CGTTTCCTTTTTATCTCTCCATTTCTCTCGTTCCAAAACAAATTTGAAGCTCTCTATTATACTTCTCCACCACCGTTTCCTCTTCATACAAGCTTCAGACGATTAATGTTGTTCATATATCCTCGGTTATGAAGATTTTTTTTTTTTTATGAATAAGCCCAGACCGACTCCACCATTCGCCGGACTTCCACTCCCCCTCTTTCTTCTTCTCCTCCAAAATAGAATTTTATATTGTTCTTGATTTTAATCATATGGGTTAACCTTTCTCTTCCATCAACCATACTCCTAAGGTAGAGGGTGTCGTAGCTCCAACTGTATCCCAATACACGACTGCCTAATGGGTGGTTTCCAGCAGATATTCGTTAGCTCTTTTTTCTATTAATTTGAGTGTAAGTTTAGATATTTTGATCGATTCGGATCAATAACGAAGGTATCAAATTTTCCTATGATGACTCACTTTAGTAGGAAGTGGCGATGAGCAGGTCACAGGAGGTGGTGCTCACCGCCTTGCATTAGCTGCTCAAAACATAGCCGTGTCTCTAATTGCTTACCCATTTTCGTTCGTTGTCTTCTTGTTTGGCTTTGTCTCATGTATTTCTCTAAAAGAGTTTGATTAACTTTTGATTTTGCAGATTATGGTTGAAGGTTCTTCGACAATTAGTGTTTTAATGTTTCTTCTTATATATATCATTTGCTTAAGAGTATTTTTAATTGGATTTTCTTTTATAGCCACACTTGGTTAATGAGTATCTTTATATATGAGATATTTAATAACTAACTATGAAGTGCAAAGTATGGGCCGGGAAGTTTTTTTTTTTTTTTTTTTGTTCCATAAAAAAATATTATTAAAAATTATGATCGAACATATTTCAAGGCAAAAGTTGGTTTGTTTTTTTGGGACATAAATTATCAGTTTTTCATATTCTTGGAAATTCCTATTACATAAATGTTTTTTTTTTCGGTGTCATCCATGATTGATTTGAGTTATTTCATTTTTCTAAATTTTACAAAGAGGAAAACGAAAATATGATCTTCATGTTCCATCTTTATGGAAGATACATACAACCTCAACTGATTGTTAGTAGACTGTAGACCCGGTAAGTAAAAAGTTTAACATTAGAGACATGTGGTTTTAACCAATCAAGTAAACATACGTTCGTTGGCCACCACATAGCTTTAGCAAATGCTTGAAAATTAATTAATGGAGCTTTCAATTTATGTAACTAGACATTTATGTGTAGAAATTGCAATTGCTTAAGAATAAAGAAACTTACATAGGCATAAGCATTATTGGATTTTAACGGTAAAGAGAGTCAAGCCTGATTAATCTGTTGAATAAATGAAAGATCTTTGCACAAACATGACACCTGTAAAGAGTCACATTGTTGTTATCTATCCTAGAAATTATAAACAAATAATGTCAATTGTTTTCTCTTTTTCAGCTACATTTGCAACTTTATATAAGATAAAGCATGAGTTTTCCAGCAAAATATGACTCCTACCTTATGAACCATATATACAATCCATAAGAGTTAAAAGTACCACCAACATCCATTCTTGGCCAAACATCAACAGTCATTCTAGGAAGGTTGATAACCCAAAAAGAAACAATACGTTTAAATCATTTTACTAATTCTATAAATATGAAATTATTTTATGATAAGTGCATCCATTCCATATATGACCATCAACAAACTTTTAACCTCTTTCGAGTTTAAAAAACATTTTCCTAAGTATACCATTGTACTTTTAACTTTTTTACTTGGAGATTGATGGATCATCATTAAACTTATAACCTCTTTCAAGTTTAAAAAACAATTTCCTAATTATACCATCATATTTTTAACTTTTTACTTGGAGATTGATGGTAGAAATAGCAACTCACTTCCGGTTACATGTTCATTATAACAACTTGCTTTCATGTTATTTCTTATCATCACAATGGACTAAAAAAAACTACCCAATTAGAATGTTATAATTTCATTTTTTTTTTTTCTTATCAAGAGACTATTATTCAATGAATTTACCGAATCGTAGTAGTGAATATCAAGAGACGGTTCTTATTAAGAAATTATAATTTACAAAATCTATTAATCGTAGCATAATCTGACACCTCATGACCACTTTCTATTACATGAAAAATATATTCAGGCTTTATTTTGAAAATTAAGTAGAAAAAACCTCTAACTTGTATCATGGGCAGTAAGAAAAGAAAAAGACGCCCACCATTTATTTTATCCTATTATACCAAAAGTTCAGTTTTAATAAAAATGACCAATATGCCCTTGCACTGTTAAACAAAGATATGATTATGGGCTGAAGATGATTAATATAAACAAAAACTAACTTACCCCTGCATACAGAAACATCAAACAGACACAGACACATATAATTTGACATTTTTTGTAACAACCAAACAGAAAAAGCAGGAGTTAATTGGTAGGAATTATTTATGTTGTCTTATTAATTAAACCACGTGGACGAAAATGGTGTTTCGATGTTTTGAATGTCCCTTTAAAAATGATAAAGATTGGGTTCTTAACATTTCTTAAGTCTTTTAAGGACTTTTACCTTACCTATATGTAATATATTTATATAATATCTTAAACAGGGAGAGGTAAATAAAGTACCAATTCTAATTTTGTACATGCTATATTCATCCTACAAATGATTAATCACTGGTACCTATTTCCTCTTAAAAATTGATGAATAAAAGAACACAATGTTAAGTGTTAATACAAAATAAGACTTTCAGTAAATATCAAAAAGAAAAAAATAACTTTGTGCATCGAGATTTCATAGTTTCAAAAGAGGAGTTCTTATTGTTTGCATTTTCATAATCTTTCATTTAATTTTCCATTTGCTCACCAAGTAACCATATATATAGCCATGAGTACAATTAGGATGAATTCTTTTTAACCCACAACTAATCTTGTCTGATTTATCCAAAACACAATCAGATTAATTAGGTTAACACCTCTACTCCTACTTGCAATACTAAAAACAGATTCAAGTATCTTATTTTGTGAAACTTGTTCATGTATGATTAAATTAACAATATGAGAATTATTATTTTTTTTTCAAAAAATATCTGCACTTGTATACATTTCTTTACATATTCTCAAACACGTCATAATTTTCTTAATTACTTTTAAACATTTAGCCAATAATTTTATCCAAATAACAACTAAAAAAACACAAAATCCAAGTTTTATGTATATATGAAAATTATATTCTATTATATATAATAAAACAAACTTTTCTAACCAAAAGTATAAGTATAACCGTTGAAACCCTCAAAAGCCAAAAGTGAAAATAAGATGTGATTTAAGTCCTAATGCTGTTATGAGAAAATTGCACCCTAATTAAATACATAGAACATAATGAATACAATTCATATTCATCAGAATCTATTTGGGAAAAAAAAAAAAAAAAATGAAATAACAAATCAACATCAAAACCTACAAGAACTCCATAAAACCATGGATCTGATGTTGAACATTAAATGTTGGATATATTCAAGATGAATCAAAAATCAAAAACCCTAAGACCATCACCATTGGTGAGTAGCTCACTATGGATCATCAAAAAATATTAAAAAGAAAAGAAATTTTGTGATTGGATTGCCCTCACAACCTAGCTCACTATAGTTCACCATCTTTCTCTCTCCTTTTTTTTTTATTTCATTTGTTTTATAAAAAAAAATAAACTTGATTAGGGGTGCAAACGAGCCAAGCTACTCGCGAGCTACTCGGGATCGGCTCGCTAAAAGTTCGACTCGAAACCGGTTTTAAACGAGCCCGAGCCGAGCTCGAGCTTAATATTAAGCTCGTTTATTAAACGAGCTCGAGCTCGAGCCTATGTCACTATGCTCAATTAGGCTCACGAGCCTAAACGAGCCTTTATACAATATAATTTATTATTATTTTCATATATTAAAATAAAAACATATTTGGGAAATTATGGATTTCGGGTATTAGTAAACGAGCTTCTTATCGAGCTTGAGTCGAGCTTAAGCTTATTTAGGCACATCAAACGAAAAACGAGCCGAGCTTGTATAATTCTTTACGCATACGAGCCGAGCTCAGTAAAAAAAGCTCTAATCGAGCTGAGTTCGAGCTCGAGCCTTGTATAACTTAAACGAGCCCGAGCCGAGCCTGACTAGGCTCGGGCTCGGCTCGGCTCGTTTGCACCCCTAGACTTGATACTACTTTTAAAAATAAATAAAATATAATAAAAAACATAAAATAGAATTCTCTACAAAATGAGTATAATGTTGATATATTTTTTGATAATTTTTTAAAAATAAAATAGAGGATTGGGTTGGGTTGCTAATGTAAATAAAAGTTTATGGTTAGTTAGGTTATGTATGTGGAAGATAGATAAAATAGTTTTTTAATAAATATTTGGGTTGGGTTGCCGATGAAAGGTATTCTAAAATTGGTTCCATATAGAACAATTAGATTACCCCCATTGGGGGATTTTTGATGAGCACTCACATTATATTTAATAAAAAAATTAAATTAAATTCGTGAACTAGGTCAGCAATACAACCCAAGGTCACAAGAGTTCACATCATGTTACCTTTACACGTGTTGAACCAAGAAATCGTCAACCATATTTTTTTAGATAAGATTTTATATTTTAGGATAAAAATCATTATCTACTAAAAAACTAATATTATCTCAATCAAAAAAAAATTAAAAAGATACTAAAATTTATATTTTATTTTCTCTATAGATAGAGTATAATATTGATATACTTCATATCTCATCTCAACTTTTTATTTCTAAACCTTTTGATTTCTTTAATAAGATGAATCCAAATTTCTTCTTAAATCTTGATAATTCTTAAGATTATCAAAACTTTCAAAGTTATGAAACCTCACAGTTTTTTGCAAATCCCAATCAATTTCCCATCACTGAAAATGTTCAAACCTCACAAAATACCGGAAAAATCCAAGAGATGATAAATAGGATGCTGATGAAGATATCACTTTAATGTCAGCATATTGTATCGCTAGTGAAGATGAGAGACACGAAAAAAACCAAAATAAAACATCAATATGGGCAGGAGTGAAGGAGCTATATGATGCAAATCACGCGGAAAACCCAGGAAAGCTTGGTAACAGGAACATAGCTCAAATAAAAGGTCGTTATAAACGATTTAATAAAAGTGTCGGCAAATGGGTTGGTGTTTATCGAGAAGCATATAGAAAAATAAGAAGTGGAATGAGTATGAAAGATATTGAGAATGAAGCTCATAAATTGTATGAGACAAGTGGAAGCAAGTTCAATGAGACAATTGTTTTTAATGAGGTTATGTGTAAACATCGAAAATGGGGTTTACAGCTAGATCATGATGCAACACGATCACGTCCTAAATATAAAGTGGGTAATGAAGAAAGTGGTGGTAGCACAAAAAGATCAATATCTACTGAAAAAGGAAGTATTGTGTCCAATCCAACACAGAAGGGGCAAATATTACTGGTTTAACAACTAAACGTCCAACGGGTAGAGATGCTGCTAAAAGAAAAGAAAAAAATAAGTCTTCTAATGAAGTTGTTGCAGAACTTCATGCAATGAGGCTTAGTAGAGATAGTGAAGTAGAAGTCATGAAAAAAAGACTCGACTTGGATCAACAAAGGTAGCAAAAAACAGAAGAAAGGGAGCTAGTGTAGATGCAGAGTTTGCATTTGAACACACTTCTACAAAAGGAGCACTTGTCATCTAAAGAAGAAAACATGAAACGTTTTCTGATGTCTAACTTTTATGGAAACTAATTGCAATTTAGTGTATATTTTAGTGTATTTGTAAGATATTTTATTTTGTATTTGTATCTCATGCTTTTAATGTATTTTTAAGATATTTTATTATGTATTTGTATCTCGTGCTTTTAATGTATTTGTAAGATATTTTATTATGTAATTGTATCTCATACTTTTAATGTATTTGTAAGATGTATTTGTATCTCATGCTTTTAATGTATTTGTAAGATGTTTTAGTGTATTTGTAAGATGCAGAGTTTACATTTGAACACACCCCTACAAAAGGAGCACTCATTTCCAGTATGCTTTTATTGAATAAAAAGTTTTCATCATCATCTTTATTGGATGCATAGTTGTCAGTATAATCTTATCATCGAGCAAATCCTTCATTATCTTATGTGTATAAGATTCTGCGACGTGTCGTCTTTTTATAGGATCCTTGGATTTTATCTAGATACACTATTTTAATATTCTCTTTATTTAAAAATTGGAAAGAACAAAAAAAAAATATTCTTCCTGTATTAATAGAGTATAAAACTTACATATTTTCATACCCACCTCTAATTCTTCATTTCTAATGTAACGCCTGTAGATCCGGGCTAGTCAATTTAGAGATAATAGGCGTCGAAAATGGCTTTTAGACAAAAGATTATTTAGAATAAATAATCTTAACTAAGTTGTAGAATATGTCTCAAGGGTTCCATACATATAAAGAGCATTGAAATCCGAGTTATAACGAAGAAGTTATGACTCGTTGAAGTTTCGCGACGGTTGCAGCACGGCACCGGGGAGACGTAAATAGTGAATTTATGATAGAGAGACTTTTAACCTTAGTTATCTAAATGAAATTCATATAATATGTTAACCTAAGAGTGTCCACAAAAAGAACGCCCAAATCTGACTTAGTATGAGGAAGTTATGATTTTTCTAAGATTTGGCTAAGCAGTGAACGACCCGAAACTAGAATTTTAGCTCGAGCGGTTTTTGGCTTACGCGACCTAAATGAGAGTTCAAGATATCATTAATAGGAACTCAACGGTAAAAAGACAGATGAAAACGGAGTCTGTATGAAGGAGTTATGAATTTTTTGTGGTCATTTAACAGTCTAATCTTCTCGTACTGTTAAATTTAAGATCGGTCTAGAATTAGCCAACGGACTCAAAATGAAAGTTGTAGATCTTATTTTTACCTATGTGTGGATATAAAGAATGTCGAAAAAGGATCTCGTATGTGAAAGTTACGTATTTTAGAAGTTGGAAGTGTGTTGTGCGAAAATGGGTGATGTGACACAATCTTGGCCATTGCTTTCTTCCCAAATCTTGCCACCATATGGTGACATGTGGCACCAAGTTCAGTCATATTTCACCCTATAAATAGAACCTCTCCCACCCTCATTTTCTTCACACTTTTCCCATTCTTTCTTCTCTTTACTCTCTCTCTCTCTCTCTCTCTCTCTCTCTCTCTCTCTCTCTAGCCCGAAACCCCCTGAAAAGCCTAGGTAACCTCCCTAGCACGAGGCGGAAGCCCCGGAGTGCTTGACAGCTCTGAGAAGAAGAGCTTTTCGGCTCGGGAACGCTGCTCCAAGCAAATCCCGGTTTTCTATAAAACCCGTTGTAAGTGAGCTACGCCTACGCTATTTTTAATATAGCTTTTATTTAATTATAGTAACGTTATTAGGAACTTATAATATGTACTTGGGCTATTATTATGGGTTATATAAGTATTTTTAAACGCTTATATAATAGTAATAATAGCTAGACTATTAATTAGTCTCGGCGAATAATAGACTAAACTCTAGTGGTAATAATACTAGGTTTCGTGGAACGAAATTATTTTTAAGAAGCGAAGCACTGTCTAAGTTTAGAATCACCACCTTTTCAAGTGAGTGCATAGTTACTTTCATCTTACACATAGATATGAAGTATTTTATATAAATTATGTGCTATGTGTGCATATTATTTGAATACTTGTTGTCTATGCTAGATGAAAAATTGTATACATGTTTTAAAAGATTTAAACGGTATATTTATTTTATATCTACAAATATGTTGCGGATGAAACATGGGTAGATGAAATAGTTGGTGTGTGATGAAATAAAATGATGAGAGATAGGTGATAATAGAAAGGTGATTATAATTAGGTAAATAGATGATGATGAATAAGTGATGTAGGATGAAAGGAGATACCATAACCTTAACCGGCAACGTGGCAATGTAGTCATCTACCAGAGTATAAATGGTGACCACGGACTATTCTAGAATACCCCGTGGAAACACCAGCAGGCCCATAACCTGTAGGTGATGAGTTACGAGTTCAGTCGATGTTGTAACTACCTATTCATACGATGATACTCTAACCTCTTACTATGAATTACAAGTTCAGGCGATGTTGTAACTACGTATTCATGCGATGATGCCCTAACCCTTGTTGGGCATGTATTAAGGGAGTAATCCCTGAATCAATGCTGTCTATGCGATGTAAGTGATGATCTTTAGGGGGAGTCCTTAGGAACAAACATATAAGCAAATGTGATGTAAGGAGATGAGAGGTAAATATGATGTAGGAGACGATCCTTAGGGTAAATCCTTAGGGAAGGTACCTAGGAATAAAGAAGATAATGGGGATGGGTAATTGAGTTAATTGTTTGATGATTAAACATAATAATTATATTATTTTGGGTTGAAAAACCTATGTACTCACCAGGTTTTCCAACCTAACCCACTCAGCTTACTTGTATCACAGGTAACGAGGTGAAGTTAAATTACACTGAGAGATTAAGGAGATATAGATCACTAGTGTAAATGAATGTAAGTTCTGTTTATGCTTACGTTTCTGTATTGACGATGACATCTGAAATGTTTTAAAATGAATAAAAATACATTTCTTCGGAAATGCTTTGATAATGAAATTATCATGTTTTTCTGGGAACAAATTCCGCAACGTTTTTATTAAAAGAGATACCCTGATTTTTATAAAGCATAAACAAAATCGGTCTTTTCTAGGCGTGAAAATGGGGATGTCACAGTTGGTATCATAGCATTAGTTTAAGCGAACTAGGAATTTGTAGGGTTTCTAGACTTACACTTAGAATGCTAAGCAATGACTGTGAAAAGTGAGCACTAGTTTATTTTAGGAATTGTGCCTAAAAATGCTTTTATGTGCTAAATGCTTTGTGCCTAATATGTTGTTGTTTGTTCGGATCTATGGTCTATTGCCGATCGGATCTAGAAACTTTATGTGTTCAGGTTTCTAAACGTTTAATTACGGTATTAGAACTGGCATATAACTTTTCGGAGAGATAAGGGGATTATACGTCAATCATAGATAAAATCTTTCATATCTTAATTCTCCTCATTACACACCGACCGTATGATTTGGTGTATAGATCGATATGACAAGAACCTGAAGTGGATTCGGGAACGCGAATGGAAATAGGAATCAACAAACCCCAGTGATTGAACAAATACATGTTGTAGTAACCGCTCCTGAGCCAATCACCATGGTCGGGGTACAAGCGATGATCCAAATGATGTTGGATCGTCAAATGGAGGAAACAAGGCGTTTAATTCAATAAAATCGAGAGGAAATTACGATGCCTATTGAACAGCCTGAGCTGAATGATGGGCAGTCAGAACAAAGGAACTACAGTGGGATGGTTGGTCAAGACAACCCACCGATAGTTAGACGAAACAATCAGGATGGAGGAAATGAAGAATGTGGATGTAAGTACAAGGGTTTCATGGTATCCAAACCCCCGAGTCTTTCTAGATGCCCATCACCGGTGGAAGTTATGGATTGGATCTTCGAGATGGAGACAATGTTTGAGAGTTGCGAGTGTAGCAACAAACAAAAGATCACCCTTGCGGTCCCTCTGTTAAATTCTGGAGTACTGAGATGGTGGAAGCTATTAGCTAACACGATGCCCAAGGAATAAGCAAGCAAGATGTCTTGGGAAGATTTCCTAGTGCAATTAAAGATGCAGTACTGCTCTGAGCAGGATCTTCTGGAGATCAACAATGAATTCCATAATCTGAAGAAGGGGAGGATGAGTGTCACCGAGTATGCTACAAGTTTTATGGAGAAGATGAAGCTCATTCCTTATCTAGTTCCAACTGAGCTCTCCAAGGTCAACAAGTTTGCCCACGGATTACCAGTGGACTTTGGTCCAATGGTCAAGTAGCAACCACATTGAAAGCCGCCATCTAGGCTGCTAAGAATGTGGAGACCCAGATAAGAGAGAAGGGTCTGGAGAGAGCTGAAGTTGGCGAGAAAAGGAAGCATGAAGGATCTTCAAGGTCCAACAAGGAGAGAAAATTATCGAAGTCTGGAGGAGGAGGAGGAGGAGGTGAAGCAAGATGGTGTGAGAAGTGCAAGAACAATCACTTCGGAAGATGCAATGGAAAAGTGATGTACTATAAGTGTGGTATGACCGGTCACTATTCCAGAGATTGTACATTCGACAACAAGAAGTGCTACGAATGTGGAAATGATGGGCATATTTCGAAGAACTATCCAAAGAAGAACGAAGCTGCAAGGCAAAATGCGTCGCTAAAGCCAAAAGCAAGAGCATTCCAAATGATCCTTGACGAAGTAGATGGAAATGCAAGGAATGAGGTGTGAGGATGGATATTCGAGGATCAAGTTATAAAGAAGCCATGCGGATAGTATCAGGAGGTGTATCCTATTAGAGACATAGTATAGGTTGAACTTGAACACCTATGTAATCAT